TTGACTTACGAAAACGTAACAGCATTGTGGGCTGTCACAAGAGAAAATGTATGCCCTACACTTGATGCCTGGCGAGAGTAACACTCCACAGGACAATTTACTTAAGGCATTTATGAGAGCTCACACCACCGAAGAGAAGATAAATGTCAGAAGTTCACAAAATGGGCCCTAGGACCCAAGCCCTGGCCTGCAGCACTGCAGATATGACCAGAAATAACCCAGGAGGGTTTAACAGTCCTGGGCTTTATGGCCCCCTCCCAGACCTCAGGTGATTGTAAAGAGAAACTGGTGAGATTTTGATTTAAATTCCTAAGAGAAGCCTGGACTGGTGGCTCATGTGAACAATCCTATTACCTCGGAGGTAGAGGCAGAAGAAACAGGAGTTCAAGGCCAACCTTAGTTACATAGGAAGTTGGAGGACAGCCAGGGACACACGAAGCTCTGACTCTAAATAATTAAAGAAACTCACATAATAACACACACCCCCCCCCCGCCCTGCAAAGAGAATGAAAAGAAAGCGTTCAACAGCCTCTATTTAGACTGTGCTGTCCTCTGCCTGACCCTGGTCTGTCAATCTCTCTTCTTGTGAGTCCTTCCTGTGTGGTTGTCAACCACGTGTTTCAGGAAAGTAGCTGATGCACACCCAGTGGAAATTTTGGGAAATGTATGACTTAATGAGAAAGAAAAAAGAAGAAAGGAAGGAAGGAAGGAAGGAAGGAAGGAAGGAAGAAAGAAAGAAAAGAAAGAAATTCTGATGGCATTTTGGAGTGAAAAAAAAAAAAAGCAGTAGAAGAAAAAATATGTCCCAGATCCCTGTGACTTCCCTCATGACAGATTTGCCTAGTTGAAGTAACTGACTTAAGTCGAAGTGACAGACAGATGGGAAGGTGTAGCAGTGAGTTACTATGGTGAAATGGTGAAATGACCCATTTAACACAGTTACTAACAACTGCACTGATTAAGCCAACTAAAGTTTTAGTCCTTTTATTAATGGCTAAGCCAAAAGTGAGTTTGTGCTTCTGAAAAACCTCTTGTTTCCCAGCTTCAGGAGTACAGCATTTTAAAAAACAAAACTACAATTGCATCAGTGTTTAAGTGGGGGTAGATTTGGGGTGACCTAGTAACGTCTGCTTTCTTTGTAAGCTCAGCTACTACATGATATGTTATATTTGATATATCTGTACTTGGTATGATAATACTTGGTATGATACAGTACTACATGATAGACTTGGACCATGACCAAGGTCATGGACAGTCCCAAAAGTATTGTTGAGGCAAATATGGATGTATGGGGGTGTAGATGGCTAAGTGACCAAGCAGGCAAAAAATAAAGTGATAAGATGATACTAACATTATCTTAGTCATTTCAATGGGAGTGGAGACTTTGCAATTACATCCATTGCTATATATCCTAAGCACTGTTTCTTTGGGCTAAATTTTTCATCCTAGGGAATTTTGCTATTGTTATAGTCAAGAAGACCTTATCTTAGATGGATTGTGAGCTAATCTTGATCTCTGACATGCCCTCTGGTTCCAAAGATGGGGCTTGGAGCATAGGCACATGGTGAGGGACCAGGGCATATTGCTATAGTTTGTGTAAAGGTTCAGCGTAGTAGCGGCTCCTGTTTACAAAAACATCCCAGGAATAGAGTCAAGCTTTACCAGCTGCCTCTAGAAGATGGAAAATTCTAGAAGCAGACTCTTCTCTGGTATTTTCAGATGACATGGAATCCTTTCAGAGTTGGACATCTGAAAGTATAAGGTGGTAAACTTAAAATGCTTCAAGCCACAAAACTACAATAACTTTTTATGGAGGCAAAGGGAAATGCATACATTAGACTCTTTTTTTCTTTAATGAAGATTTAGTGCCTGTTGGGTGTTGGGCTGATATGGGATGTCCTTCTGTAAGCTGAGAATATGTGTTGCTTTTATTGGCTGATGAATAAAGCTGTTTTGACCAATGGCCAGGCAAAATATAGCTAGGTGGGAAATCCAAACAGAGATATGGAGAGAAAGAAGGTGGAGTTAGGAAGAATCATGTAGCTGCCAAAGGAGTAACATGATGAAGCATTACCAGTAAGCCACAGTCTCGAGGCAATACATAGATGAAAAGAAATGGGTTAGTTTATGAGAGAGCTAGCCAGTAATATTTCTGAGCCATTGGCCAAACAATTATATTTAATATTAGCCTTTGAGTGTTATTTCATAAGCAAAGACAGGGACCCAGCAGGGTGTGGGGGATGCTGAGGGGTGGGAGAAACAGGTCCAGAGGGACAAGAAGAGCCAGAGAAAAACTTCCAGCTACAGGGGGCAGTGGTGTGCAGGTGTTCATAGAGGCTGGAAGAGGGCACCTGATCTGAAGTTAGTTATAGTCAGTTGTGAGCTGCCCCACACAGGTGGTGGGAACCAAACTGCAGCCCTCTGAAAGAGAAGCAAGTGCTCTTTGCCACTCAGCAGGCTCTCCAACTCCCATCATCTCTACTTGGTCTGTGTTAATAATAAACCAAGGCTGCTGACAAGAGAGAGCAAGTCCTCTGTGCTGAACACAGCCTCTCATTCTTGGTGTGTGTTCTAACTTATATAAGCACTGGCATAGCCCTCAGGGAACAGCTCTCATTCTCATCACCAGTTTGCAGATGGAGAAACTGAGGCACAGGCATGTTATCATTTTGTGGCTGCTAAATCAGCTGTAAAGTTGGCCAGTGGGCTTGACAGAGGTGACTGCCAGGGACTGCATCAGCTACACCATCTTAGCTTGACAGCTCCAAGGTCTATAGATACTCTCATCTTAAGATAAAGAAAACATAGTACAGCACCTGGGCTACACTGTTACAGGACTGTGCACCTCTCTTATTTCTCTGTGTTTCTTCCTGGCCAGCCAACATTGTTGCCAGGGCATCTGGATCACCCCCAGGAGGTCTTCAGGAGGTTAGTCCTGCTCTCAAATGGAGGGAAGGGGAAAGTTCAGGAGCTCCCTGCCTTCCCAGGACATGGGGAATCAGCAAGCAACTGTTAGGAAGAAGTGACTTGGGTAGTGTAGCATGTGGTGCATTTTGGGCAGACCTCTCAGTGGTGCACCTATCTGAGTCCCTCATGTTCCTGTAGGTAACCCCTAGTCATACTCCTGAAGGTAACCCCTAGTCACACTCCTGAAGGTAACCCCTAGTCACACTCCTGAAGGTAACCCCTAGTCACACTCCTGAAGGTAACCCCAATCACACTCCTGAAGGTAACCCCTAGTCACACTCCTGTAAGTAACCCCTAGTCACACTCCTGAAGGTAACCCCTAGTCACACTCTGTAGCTAACCCCTTACTCACCCTCCTGAAGGTAACCCCTCACTCACACTACTGTAGGTAATCCCTAGTCACACTCCTGAAGGTAATTCCTCACTTACACTCCTGTAGGTAACCCCTAGTCATACTCCATAGGTAACCCCTTACTCACTCCTATAGATAACCCCTCACTCACACTCCTGTAGGTAACCCCCAGTCACACTCCTGTAGGTAAACTCTGAGTTCAAGCCCCATCACCATTATAAAAGCTGGGCATTGGGGAAGGGGGGGTGAAAACTGGAAGATGCTTGTATCTTGCTGGCCAGCCAGCCTATCCTACTCAGCAAGTCCCACGTCCCAGTGAGAGACCCTGCCTCAAACCAGACCAATGACTCATAGCTGCGAACACTTACAAGCAATGGACTAAAGGGTAAACTATATGACTCAAGGGCCACACTACACTACAGCTTCCACAACCACAAAACTTCTTCTCCTCCTCCTCCTTTGCTTTTGGTTTGTATGCTTGTTTGTTTAGTGTTTGGTTTTTCTTTTAAATTTTGTTTTGTTTTGGCAGAGGAGGTTGCATGGGCAGAAGGCGGAAGCGAGGGGACAGGGAGATAAGTGAGATCACAAGTGTGTGGGTGCACACACACACACAAAGAGACTGAGACAGAGAGAGAAAGAAAAAGGAGAGAGAGAGATTGAGAGAGAGAGAGAGAGAGAGAGAGAGAGAGAGAGAGAGAGAGAGAGAGAGGAGGGCTGGAGAGGTAGTTCAGTGGGTCAGCCCTTCCCTAGTATATGCAAGGCCCTAGCTTCGTTGCCCAGTCCTGTAGCAACAGCTGAAGCAATAATAAATTTCAATGTGAATGGATAATTGTAACTCAAGAATAGGGAGAAAAGATGAGTGAGAAGGTTCGAATACCCAGATTTGAAGACAGCCTATCAAGTTTAACTGTGTGCGTCTAGAGGAGCCATGGCTCAGCTATTACGAGCATTGGCTGCTCTTGCCCAGGACCCAGGTTCAGTTTTCATCACCATCATGGTAGCTCACAACCACATGTAACTCCAGTTCCAGGCAACCCAACACCTACTTTGACTTCTGCAGTCACAAGGCAGACAACTATTCACATAAAAATTTAAAAGGAAGATTAACTCAAAGGATTTAAGTGTGTGCAGAAAAATCACTGAGTTGAGTTCACATCATCATTTTATTCATTCAGCAACTATTTACGGCTTACCTACCAAGTGCCAAGCACTATTTCTACTGAATAAATTATGTGATTGAATGTGAGGTGTGGTACGGCCTCAGCAGTGAGGCTGGCCTGTGGTTCCGGTCTGCAGACAGGGATTCCCATTTCAAGTCATTCCTGTGCCAGCAGACACACCTGCCCTCCCCCAGCCACTGTTGGCTCCTCTGACGCACAGCGGACAGAGGAGCCCAGGGATCAGCTCTGCTAGAATAAATTACCACGCCACAGTGTTCATGCATAAAACATGGTACAGAAGGCTGAGAGAGGCTGGGCCCCAGGCTGCTCAGCCCAGCAGCCGCCTTGGGGCCAGTCGGGAGTTAGAGGAAGGGAAGGGAAGGAAAGGAACGCTAGAGATAAAAGAAGCCAACAGAAACCTAAGACGTGAGAGAGAGAGAGAGAGAGAGAGAGAGAGAGAGAGAGAGAGAGAGAGAGAGAGAGAGAGAGAGAGAGAGAGACAGGAGAGAGAGCACAGGAGAGAGAGCACAGGAGAGAGAAAAGAGAGTAGCTTAAAAAGAGTAGCTTTAAAAAGTTCTTTGTGATTTTTATGCATCTGGACCTGACTTCCGGAATTGCTGCAGAGACCTTTGGTGGAGCGGTGATGAGGTCTTAGGTTGCTGTTTGGGGATCATGGTGCTGCCTTCGAGATTACACTGGATCAGAAACAGACCATGGAGGGACAGGATCCGGAGGCGGCGGCTCCACCGTGAGTGTCCCCAGAGGAATGGCCCACACTTTTGTCCCCACCCCTATTTGCTCTTCACACTTGGCCTCTTGTGTTTCCCCTTCTCACCTCTCTTGTTCCTGTTGTACCTACTCCGAGTGAACTTTCTATTTCTCACCGGGCTTCTCTCTTCCCTTTTCTTGCCCACAGCCTCATCCCACTTAGAAGTAACCAGATACAGCTTGTGCAAAGCGGCCAGCCAGGGAGGGCCTCTTTACTCCTCCATGTAGATGGGGGAAATGCACGTTGCTCACGATGTTGTGTGACTTGGTCTTCTGCATGTTAAACTGAGTACAAACGTGGAATGTCTGTATGCAGAGAGTGAACTGGGGATGGGGAGAAATTCCAGCATCAGTGAGTCCATTTCTTCAAAGAGCTGTGTTGACTGTTTGGTGATCAAACTCACAGGAAAGTTCCTCTTGAGTTGGCAAGAATTTTAACCAAAAATGAAATTTTAGTGTGGGAATAATGGAAGAAAGTAGAAGCAGTCCAAATATTCCAAATAATTCCAAGTAATAGATGGTTGGACAGTGAGACAGATTCCAGAGATTGAAGACTGTGAGGTGAGGAAAAGAGATGAGGAAAGAACCATTTGCTTTCTATTTAGCTCTGTCAGGACAGAGACACTGATGAAACTGTGATAGCTTTCAGCTGATCTTTGCCCCAGTTTGAAGTGACAGTTGGGAGTGATAAGTTGTAAGCAGGACACCATGCATCCCCATAGGAGGGCCCACCATTCACCCTCATTGGGTGGTTGTCACATTTTACAACTTTTCAAACACAGGTGAAAAAATTAATTTCTAAACAAAAAACGTTCAAATTGCAATATTGGTGTTTAATTCTTCACATTTAAGCATGATGATCACCAATGCATTGATACAAAATGGACTAGCTGTTTACAGCCAGTTACCAACCCATTTTATTTGTGGGGTGTTGTTCTCATTCGAGACCTGTTATTTGTATCTAACAGCCTGTTGATGGGTCCTTCTCATGTGTTAAAAGGCCCTGGTGCAGGCAGTTAAATTAAGATGAATGAGTGGTTTTGGGATGGTGTCCAATACACAGTCATGACTCACTAATTTAGGAGCAAACAGGGCTGGTTGGTGTATAAATGGCACTCACATACAAGGAAATGTTTTACATCCAGCAGAAGCCCTTAGTAATTTTCCTGGGCCTTCAGCCCTTGATCAACTGCTTCTTTTACTGGCTCCTCCCTTGCTCTCAAACTCTGGTGTGTGTGTGTGTGTGTGTGTGTGTGTGTGTGTGCGCGCGCGCGCGCGCATGCGCGCGCACACGCACACGTGCTGAAAGTGGAACCCGGAACCTTATGCATGTTAGGCAAGCACTCTATGATTGATCTATATCCCTAACTGTTTGAGCTATGTTTATTTTTTCTTTTGTTTGTTTGCTTCATTTTTTGAGTATGGGAAAGTAACTCTGATCTCTAATGTTTGAAATAATACCTCTGTTGGGGTGGGGAGGTGTCACTAGGAGAAAGGGGAGCCTGGACTTTCACGGTTTCATCAGTGTGGGTACAAAGTCAACTTAATCCCTAAAAGTTGAGGCAGCCTGTTTCACTCCAGAGATGATTCTTGGATTGTGTAGCTGATTTCTGGGTTCTGAGCTATGATCTGCACATGGTTTTAATATGAAATGTAGGTAGTCACTGCATCTAAACTCATTGTTAGGCAGTTACCAGAAAAATAAGTATGAGTTACTTATAGACAGTATTACTTTTGTAAGTATGTATACTTATACATAGCCACACGCTTATACTGTATATAAGCAAATATACAGACACTCTTTGGAATAAACATCTCAAGAATTCTGACGTGGCTTCAGGATGGTCATGGACCTTGATGTGTTTAGAGCCCTGAAAATAAGTGCAGGATAGAGAAGTGTTCTAAGGGACCCATAAATGAAGAGATCTGTGCATATTTAAAAGAACTGAACTAAAGGGATGAAGGGAGAAGGGGTGAGGATCAAGGGGAGAGCAATGAGGGGACTCATTACTGCCCACACTAGCCTACAAAGCTATCCTAATATTTTGGAGCTGATAAAACCAACTTGTTAACTTCTCACTCTCCTGTCTGTGAGGCTTTTCTCACAGTATAATGTCCCTTCTAACTGAAGACTCAAGACTATTTGGTCAATAGGAAAAAAAAGTTAGTTAACCCCTGTAATGAGTATAGGTTTTTCCGCCTGCAGCCGGTCTTGTCCCGCCACCGCGCCAGCCCCAAATAACACACAGAGACTCTGTATTTGATACAATGCTATTGGCCAGGTGCTAGTTTCTTATCAGCTAGCTCTATCTTAATTTTTAACTCATTTCTATGTATTTCCACGTGGTCTTACCAACGAGAGGCGGCTGGCAGTTCTATTCTCTCCAGACTCTCCATGTTGACTCTCTACTTACTACTTCCTCTTTCCTCCTTGTCTCCTAGTCCCTCCTATCTTGCTTTCCTATTGGCCAACAGTGCTTTATTCATTAACCAGTATGAGAAACATATATACATAATGGCATCTCCCATCATCTCCTCTTTTCTGTCTAAATAAAAAGAATGGTTTTAACCTTAACATAGCAAAATATATAACACAACAGTTATCAAGTAAGTATCACAGTTAACAATATTAAGTCCATTAACATTTAGCATGATTTAAGAAAATATTCCATCATCTGTCCTATCTTTGTGAGTCTAAAGTTTTATATGTAACTTATCTTTAAGCCTAACTAAGGAAAACTATAACCATAACTATCTGTCTTCAACTCCATCAAAGACCACAGAAGGATAATATATAAACTCTAGAAATGACAGAGACAACTCACTGCCTGGTCACCCGAAGTTCTTTTGTAATCTTCCATCTTCAGCCCATAGGCCATAGTGTGTCTGGCAGACTCTTCAGCAAAGCAGGAAACGTTAAACTGTCTTCTTATATTGGCAGTTTGTCAGTCACTTTTCTCTGTGTCCTGCAGACTGTCTGGCAAACTCTTCCATGAAGCAGGAACCCTGTAGCAATGTCCATCTTGAATCAGCAGTCACTTTTCTGTGGGTCCTGCATGTCTAGTTTATACAGCATAAAGTCAAACAGTCCACACAAGAGCAGTACCTTGTCCAAATGGCTAGTCTTGCCATATTGGAAGCAAATTCTATATAACAAGTTTCTTCAATGTCCATCTTCCTTTCTGACTCAGGTGGTGTTGCCAGGAGCATTTATGTCTCATTGTCAAGAAAAAACCTAAACCATTTTAAATGCCATATTCTGTAGGTCTTTGAAAGGTTTGAAGAATTCCTGTCTATCTTAAATAAATCTCTGTGTATCTTGAAAAACCTAACTAAACTCTAAGCTTTGACTATATAGGTAATTATCTATAATCTGTACTACATTATACATTACATTTCTAACTGAGCTCGATAAACACAATACCTAAACAAGAGGAGAAATATACATATCACCTTATTGACATTAAATTGTATCAATAAATTAAAATCCATTGCAAAACAAAGTATTCATATCTATACCATAATCCCCTTTTTACCTTTAAAAAGAATTGGCTGTGATCATTAACCATTTATAACCAAGTCCATTTAAATGAAAACAAACATTTATAAACAATATTTGGGAATTTGGGCGTCGTTCTTTCCAAACTACTTCCTGCTGATAAGGGGCGCTGTCATGGGGGAATCCTAAGAAGACGCAGAAATCCTGGTTGTAGTCTGTGAGGCTGCTTTGTCCAAGCTGTTTTGAATGTTGGATCACCAGGGACGCTGTTTCGGGGGGTCTGGCTTGATCAAACCACATTAGTCTGCAAGGAATGCACAGCTTTTCATTTTCTGTGGAAACAAAAATAGAAATCCTTTTCCCCAGTAACTTGTCCTTAGACTTAAATTTTGGAGTCAAAGCATTTTTAAAATATATAAATTGGATTGATCCAGCACCATTTGTTTTAACAGTTGTTATTTCCTCAGCAGTCAAAAGATACAAAGACAATATAACACCATACAGTAACCAGATTCTCTCTGAGCTTTTCATCTTTAAGTGGCTTTATTATTACTCTGTTTCTTTTACTTTTTATATTTCATTTTTTGAGACAGGGTTTCTCTGTGTATTATCTTTCCTGGAATTTACTCTGTATATCAGCTTTACTTTGAAATCACAGAGATCTGCTTGCCTCTGTCTCTCAAGTTCTGAGATTAAAGGTGTGTGCCACCACACCCAGTTCCTCTTTGTCTTTTTAAAACCATTCCCTTTTTTTTTCTCTTTTTCTTCCAAGCCTACGTATATTTTAGAACATACTGTAAACCTTTAGCGCTTTTTCTTAATGTGAATCTGTCTTTACTGTAAATCTTTATCTTTTTCTGGCCACTAGTCTTTTATCTGGTAAACAACAACATTGCTGAAATGAAAGTCATAGCTGTGTCAGCCACGGTTTATCAAAGATGGCGGCGGCTATTTTACTGCCAGCACTGAGAGCTGTGGTCACTGCCTTGGTCTGCATGCTTCCGGCTTGGAGATGTGGTCACTGCCATTGCCATCTCTCATACACACCAATAAATTGTTAGCAAAGTTATTTAAAAGCCTTGCGGTTTTTTGCCTCTTGTGCTGAGTCAGGAATCCTCCCTTAAAGGAGCCACACAAAATTCTCTCCAGGCTCTCCATGTTGACTCTCCTTACTACTTCCTATTTCCTCCTTGCCTCCTAGCACCTCCTATCTTCCTTTCCTATTGGCCAACAGTGCTTTATTCATTAACCAGTATGAGAAACATATACAGAATGGCATCTCCCATCAAACCCCAGTTTTCTCAAACACATAAGGGACCTTGAACAGCAGTAAGAGATGCATATGCTATGATTTCCAAGACCATGCAGACATTGCTAATGGATCGCATCTCTCCTTCTCACTCCTGGAGCATTCCTAGCATTAGCATCCCTTCTAACATAGCACTGGAGGCTACTACTCTAACAAACTAATAGTGGCTCAT